TAGAAAATTGTGCTTTTAACCCACACATATACAGCACCGTTTTCTCTGCAGCATCAATGCCAAACATATACTTAATAAATTAGTTAGTAAGTTATGAATTCCTTAATTGTTAGGTTAATTATTATGTCTACTGAATATTATATTGTATAATTATTTATCCATTAAAAATAAAAGTAATAAGTCATTCAATTCGCAGTTTAGCTAAGCTGGTTCTGAAGTGTTTCAACTTTCAAATAAGGTTTTAAAAACCGACTTAAAACCAAAATGTTTTGGGCACCAATTTCTGAGTTGAGGGTTCAACCATCCAATTTGAACGAATAACCTGTTCTAACGAAAAAAAATATAAAATTAAAACAGCCATAACCATTGAATTGATTGAACGGGTTAATAGTTTAATCATCTTTGTCAATAAGCCATTGATCAATTCAATTGTTTTTGGTCAGAAAACGATTTTAAGCTATTCAATTCTCAAGCTGAACAGTCGGACCATTTCGATGAATGACGGTTTGAAAACATTAATTTCAAATAAGCTATTTAAAGAGACTAAAGCAAACGAACCTTGAAGCTGACTAATAAGTAATAACCAATTTATGTTTTTAGGATTTTTCACCTAACTTATAGGCTTTATAGGACTCACCTTKAAAAGATCAAAGTCATAGTGCTTCAGCGTTCAGTCCCAAAAAGGGCATTCAAGGCCATAGTTTTAGAAACCCCAGAAACCGCTTTGACCACTCGTTCTGAATCAAACGGTGCAACAATCCGCTCTAAACTCTGGCCAAAATCAGACTCAGAGCCAAAGCCATAATCAATTCATGGATCAACCGGTCCAATCATTCGGTCTGGTCCGATTTTCAAAACCATATTCAAAGCCCATTTGGAAGAACTGAACTGAAGATTCAATTAAGCTGATTCTGCTTTGAATTACTTCAAATAAGCTGTTAAGAAAGGGGTTGTATGGTTACAATTCACTCTCGAGTCAGATAAAATGAATAATTCATTTAATTACTCACAACGGAAAAACTTTAGCTGTTGGGGGCAACAGTCTATACTGTTGAAAGAATTTCTAAAAATTCTATATTATTAGGAGAATGGATAAATTAGTAATTATATTTTAATTTATTTTGACTAAAAACAAAAGCATGGCTGTAAATARATAAACTGCTCAGAACGTATCCAGCCCAGAATTTGTCTCAATAGCCTGGGCCCAACAGCCAAACTTAAGCCCACAAAACCCATACTCAAACCCATGAACCCTTAACCCTGGTTAACCCTGTTAAAGGCGGATTTTTTATCCGCCTCCCCTGCAACCAAGCCAGAAACCTTACCAACTGAACCGGTTAACCCTGTTAATATTTTTCTTATTCTCTTCAGATRAAACTTAACTTTCTATCACTTCAAACCAAATTAACAATGAATTTATTAACATATAAATTTATATTTTTATATCACTTTTATTAAGATTACATTATCAAATTTTCAATTTTAAGTTATTATTTGAATAAATAAATAAATATAATTTTAACGGTTCTCAGGTATGGATATGTGATTTTATTCCAATTAATAATCAGGGTACTGTACCCGACCCATTGACAGGCCCTACTGAATAGCTATTTATTCTCTTAACATACCCCCACTACTCTTATTGTTTAATATTTCCAATTAATATTTTTCCCTACTGAATAACCTGCGTTTGGCTTGATGATAGAATCGTAGAAAGTAAAGAGAATCTCTGCCATAAAGTTATCTGGTTAGCTAAGCACAGAGCAGCCGCAATGCGAAATTGAAATAGGCAAGCCTCCCTTCTTATGACCAGAGTCATGTCTTAATTCAACGTGGTTTGTCCGCATATTTTGTCCCTTGCTGAACTTCACTTGCCCAATTTGCTGAAGAGGGATTCATACCAAATATAAGTTCAAAATGTAATTTGATCTGGAGCCCAGATGGAAATCAAATTTCCCATTTACATGTTACAGCAGATACAGTTGAAAATGTTGATTGCAATATTAATCAGGTTTTGTCATGTTGATTGATCATTTTAGCTAATTTAACACATCAAATTGAAGTTGGCGTGTTGATCTGGGCAGAACGTGAATTACTGCAACAGTCATAACTTTCCTCGTTTCATTCAATGAAACGAGATTAACTTAGCTTCATTATATTTCCAGTCATCAATTAACTTTGTGACCCCACAACCAGGACTGAAGGAAGCAATCTTGGTTTCAAAAGAGAGATTAATAAATTTATCTAGCTAAGACTGGATGTAAAGCACCCAGCTAGCGAGGTATACATGATGCATACATAGAACATGTTCAAACATATACAGAAGATTAGAGAGAAGAGAAAATGGGGACACCCGGAAGGGTGGCTCCGGCGTCCACAATGAACACATTGCCTGAGACATATTCTGAGGAATCATGGATCAAATATCGCACAAGTGATGTTAACGCAGGGTCTGATGTGCCAAATGTTCCCAGAGGAACTGTTTTCTTCATCACATTGTTGATCCACTCTTTCTCCATAAGCTTCTCAGTGATCTCWGACTTGAATATTCCTGGAGCTATTGCATTCACTCTGATCTTGTAAGGTCCCATCTCTACAGCCATCACCTGCAGTCTCACAAAACAAACCATTTCTTCAAAACCCCATAAGAGTATGGAGGACTATGCAGCAGATACCGATTAATTAGGAGCTAGCAGATTCATTTGCTTCTCTGCAAAATGGAGTTATAGAAAGAACTCTGTTTTCCATCTCTTCAATTCTAAGTTGTTTTGATGTAAATGGCAAGGAATGAAAACAAAGATTTTATTAGCTGGGGCTACAGTGCCCTCAGCCACAGGGTAGTCCAGACGCCAGAGTGCCCATGTCTCACAAGCCTCTGTTGCAGAGAGCATCAAGAATCTCCATTAACTGTCAGAGTGAGTGAGTGAGAGAGAGAGAGAGAGAGAGAGAGAGAGAGAGAACCTGAGTCAGGGCGTTCAGACCAGCCTTGGAAGAAGCATAAGGACAGCCCCCAGGTAAGTGGCCACGGTAGAGGCCATCTACGGATGTGATGTTGATAA